GAGAGCTCCTCTCACCCTTCAGGAATGTTTGCTCACAGGTCTTCCTTGAGTAGAATGTCAGCCCCTCGAGGGGGAGGGAGCAGGTCCCACTTGCTTCCTTATTGCCCAAGGCGACTCCCCTGATAACACCTGATGCTGACTCGGGATAAGCATTTGATGAATGAATACACGAACTTCACAGCGCGATCCCCCTACCGGCTCCCCACCGCCACCTGCCCCCTCCCAGCTAGCACCTGCTGAGGTCTAGCGCATGGGTGTATGACCAGCTCAGCCGTGACCCCTAGGCGACCTAGATGGTACTCTGCCCCTCGGGGAACTCCCCTGCCTGGGTCTCCTCCAGCCCCCCAGCGACCCCGGGGAGAGAAAGGTACAACTAGTCTCACGCCCCTTTTCTGGCCGAGGTGACTGGGACTGAGGTATGGTCCAGGCAAGGTCATGCAGGTAGGAAGTGGTGGGTGGGGCCGACCTTGGAGGCCGGTCTCTGGACCCCGAATCGGGTCCCAGTCGGCTGTGCACCTGCGAGAAGCTGGGCTGGCGGTGGGGGGGTGAGGGGGCTGATGTAAGCGGGCCTCGCGTGCAGAAGGACCTCCTGTCAGGGCCGAATCGCGGCTCTCGTGTTCTAGGTTGTAACCTGGCGTGACGAGCGACCTCCCGTCGTATCTGCTGGGTTCTAAGAAGCAGATCACGCTCGAGGGGAGGGGGTTTCAGCAGAGCAGGACCACCAGGAGGCGGGGCCAACGGGAGCCGCTTCAGAAGCTGCCCGCCGGGCCTGGGGCACCCCGCTCTGCTCTGCCGTCGGGGCGGCAGAAGGATCTCGGGTTTGGGGGCTGGCAGAGCCGAGTTGGACGCCAGGTCGTCTTCCTCTTACCCGGCCACCGGAAACGGCGCGTTACTCCACCTCAGCATCTTCCCTAAAACAGAGGTTGCTTCCCTCACCTGCCCCCCCCCAGCCCCGGGGCTGAGCAGGGCATGGGGGGGGGGGGGTGACGGACCTTGCCCCGTTGCTTCCCAAGGCTGCTGCTGTCACGAACACCAGGAACGCGGTGCCTTGCACAACACTATGCGTTCCGTTTCGGTTTTGCAGGCCAGACTCTGACGCGGGCCTCCCTGGGCTGAAGATCCCAATGCGGGCACAGCTGCGCTCCTCTCTGGAGCCTTCTGGGGGAGAGTCCCTTTCCTTGCCTTTTCCAGCAGCTAAAGGCTCCCCCGTGCTGTGGCTCCTGCCTCTGGGTG